TTTTCACCAAAACAGATTTGTACTCGATATGCTTTGTGCCTTACTGCCGCATTATTTAGGCATACACAGCCCTTAATTTTATTGAAATTCCGTTTTTCTTCTAGCTGGATATCACACTAGAATTGTACGGATTCAGATTTTTGATTTTCATCAAAAAATTGTACTCGATGATGAACTGCCAAGAGTTTGGGATTATTTCAAAGAATTGACAAGAGCAATTTTAATTAAATCGAGTTTTTTCTTCTATCTGGATATCACACTAGAATTGTAAAGGTTCAGATTTTGATTTTCATCAAAAAAATTGTACTCGATGATGAACTGCCAAGAGTTTGGGATTATTTCAAAGAATTGACAAGAGCAATTTTAATTAAATCGAGTTTTTTCTTCTATCTGGATATCACACTAGAATTGTAAAGGTTCAGATTTTGATTTTCATCAAAAAAATTGTACTCGATGATGAACTGCCAAGAGTTTGGGATTATTTCAAAGAATTGACAAGAGCAATTTTAATTAAATCGAGTTTTTTCCTCTATCTGGATATCACACTAAAATTGTAAAGGTTCAGATTTTGATTATCACCAAAACAGCTTTGTAGTCGATGTGAGCTAGAAGCCAAGTTCTAGCCTGGCTTCTGTGCCTGTGCCTGTCTGGATATCACCTGTCTGGATGTCTGGATATGCCTGTGCCTGTCTGTCCTGTCTTACAAGTTCTAGGGCTGATAATCCGGTTACCGTATCCCGTAGCTGCTGTTCCTGGAGTTAAAATTTCCTTCTGTCAATCAGATCATAGGCAAAATCTGTTTCAGTGGTTTGGTCAACATTTCAAAACAGTTTGGCATCACTTTTCAATGTTCTAGCCGATGAAACAAGATCAGAAACAAACAAGATTTCGATTTAAAACCAGTTTCTAGCAGAAGCTAGAAGCTGGTTTTGAATTAGCTCTTAAATTATCTTCTAGATAACTGTATAAAGTTTATAAATAATATTTAGACGGAATTACACCATTCATCCGGAACATATTCGAATGTGCAGTCTTTGCGGGTATGTGCGCGAGATGCGTGATGGAAATAAGCGGAAAGTGGTGAGATTTCGATATTATATTCAGCTATCAGATAATAAATCGATAATAAATCGATTTTATAAATAATAGACGATTTATAGACAAAATATAGACAATTTATAGACAAAATTATCCAAAATTATCCAAAATTACCCAAAATTACCCAAAATTATCCAAAATTATCCAAAATTCACTTTATTTTCCAGCTGCTCAACGCTTACGCTTCTTTTAAAGACGAAAGCCGCTGTGAGGCGAATTTTGGAAGGAAATTTTTGTGATTTTGTGTGATTTGGCCAATAAGTCTTTGAAAGCTTTATTTAAAAAGCTAATTAAAAAGCTAAATACCGTAGATACTCTAATCGAACGCCATAATGACGGGTGTACAGTCGTGTAGTCTAACTTTGAACGTCCCATTCTCTGCGCTGCTTTCTGCTAGAGCTATCAGAAAGCTAGCTTTCTGCTTGCGCTTTGGTTTCAAGAAATTTGAAGAAAAATTTCAAGAAACTCTTGAAATCTAGTATTTTTTTGATATCAGAAAGTGTAGCTGAGGAAAAAATGATTTTCTGGAAAGAAGTTCGACTAGACAACGCGCGGTGGCGTTCTATTAAAGTATTTACGGTCACTAATTGATCCAATAGATCTAATTGATCCAATTGATCCGATTGTTCCAATGATCCAATCGATCCAATTGGCCCAATTGATCCAATCGATCCAATTGATCCAATTGATCTAATTGATCTAATTGATCCAATTGATCCAATCGATTCAATTGATCCAATTGGCCCAATTGATCTAATTGATCCAATCGATTCAATTGATCCAATTGATCTAATTGATCCAAACGATCCAATTGTTCCAATGATCCAATTGATCCAATTGACCCAATCGATCAATTGATCTAATTGTTCCATTGATCCAATTGATCTAATTGATCCAATTGACCCAATTGATCCAATCGATTCAATTGATCCAATTGATCCAATTAATCCAATTGATCTACGGTTTGCTTCAAATATAAAATGCTACTGTAAGCACTATAAATGAAGGGCATGCTGTTCTATTAGAGGGTATCGTTCAATACCGATATTCAATACCGATAGTCAATACCGATATTCAACACCGACATTCAATACAAAAGCCGTATGCATTCAGATAATTTATCGACAGAAACAAACTTTTCTTTAAATCTTTGCAAGAATTCGGCGGTGATTTCGTTGCCGAAACACTTGTTCTTTCTTTTCTTCCAACAGAGCGTCAATTTTGATTGGAACTTTATCTCGACTTTTTTATCCATCGATTTCCGCGGCATCACCACAAAAAGCCGAAGCTTTTTGGTTCTCTTTTTGGTTCGGCGTCCTCCGATCCATTCATCCAAATCGACATCAATCCCCTCAGTTCAAGTGGCGCTCCATCAAGTCATCAAGCTTCATCAAGTCTCCTGTGAATCTTCTCGAGCTCGGCCTCTTGTTTACCGTAAGATTGTAGTCCTCAAGGAGAATTGGTGTCGCTTCAAGAATGAAATTCATCTGTGACTTCTCTTAAAAGGAAACAATTCATCAGCAAATCGATTCGCCGCACATCCGCGCGAAAATCCGCGCCGCCTTATTCCAAATGATTCGACGAGTCACACGTTTCTTTTCGGCTCGGCATTCTCGGATCCATTCATCCAAACCGACATCAATCCCCTCAGTTCAAGTGGCGCCCAGCTCCATCAAGTCTCTTGCCTTTCCCGTGAATCTTCTCGAGCTCGGCCTCTTGTTTAACGTAAGATTAGACGCAGCTCCGAGGATAGAACAGCACAATAGAACAGCATGCCCTTCATTTACAGCATTTACAGTAGCATTTTCTATTTAAAGCAAACCGTAGAGATCAATTGGTGAATTAAGCAGCTGTAAAAAGAATGATAAAAAGTGTCCAAAGACTCCAATTGGCTAACAATTAAAATGCAGCAAAATCTAGCTTTCTATTCGGGTATATTATCAAAAGAAAAATGTAAATTTGTATCTATTTATTGTTTCAATAAATTTCACATCTTTTTATCATCGATAGTCGGAGCTCTTGCTGCGCTTGTGAGAGCTGAAAAAGCTTGGATATTCTTGAAAGAGAATTGAAATAGAATTGAAAGCGAATCTTCTATAGATTTAAAATTTTAGAATCGATCTCAACATCCAGCTTATCTTATCGAAATTTTGTTAAAACTGACGTTTTTCTCCTATCGTCTCGTTCCTTTTTCTGAATGTAGCGATCTCGTTGTGCACTTCTTGCTCGAACTTTATCCACATCAGCACTGAAATTGAAGTCTACTGTAGTCTAATCTGACTCTAGTCTACTGTGGTGTAATCTGACTCTAGTCTACTGTAGTCTAATCTGACTCTAGTATACTGTAGTCTAATCTGACTCTAGTATACTGTAGTCTAATCTGTCTCTAGTCTACTGTAGTCTAATCTGACTCTAGTATACTGTAGTCTAATCTGTCTCTAGTCTACTGTAGTCTAATCTGTCTCTAGTCTACTGTAGTGTAATCTACTGTAGCTATTTGCATACATTAGATTATACAATAGACTATCGTAGACTTAAAAGTCCAGCCTCTTACAGTACTTCTTTAGTTCTTACAGTTACAGTGCTCCTCAGTTACAGTACTCCTCAGCTACAGTACTCCCCAGTTACAGTACTCTTTTGAAAGCGGTTTAGGGGCTGATAGGGACAATTTTCCCTTTTGACTATTAGACTTTCGATATTTCAATATTTCATTGAATACACTTTAAGGCTTTAAGGCTTTAAGACTTTTAAGACTTTTTAAGGCTTATTACAGTAATGTAAAGAATAGTACAGTAATGTAAAGAATATTACAGTAATGTAAAGAATATTACAGTAATGTAAAGAATAGTACAGTAATGTAAAACCTCACCTAGTATCGATTGCGTTATCAGGCAAGAAATACCAAGTGTCCCTGAAGTTTTGCCCCACCGGTATCAACACGTAGGCGCCTGGAAAAGAGATTTGAAATTGAAATTGAAATTGAAATTGAAATTGAAATTGAAATTGAAATTAGAAATCGAATAAATAGATTGCCTAAATGCAAAAGGCTTGATTAAAATCTAAATCTAAATCTAAACAAGAAAAAGTACCTCTGGACATCATATCGCTCACCTCGACAATCTTTTTCCCGTCCATGTTAACAAGTCTGTAAATTGCAATGATAATTCAACGATAATCTCTTCGACACTAAGTCATGCCTTCAGTGCACCGGAAAGGATTTGTTTACAGGATTTGAGCACAAAGAGAACGAAAGAGATCAAATGGAAAAGCTCACCTCGCCGGATTGACTTTATACTTTCTTGCGCACAACTCTAGCACATAAGGCATTCCCTTTTCGAGTTGACTTCTCGAGAAATCGACATATTGACAATCCATTCCATTTCCATTCAAGAAAACACTGGACTTTGTTTTTGACTCGATTAACGCATTCACGACGAAACGACCCACAAATGGGCCATTTGAGACGCGCCCTTTTGCTTTGGACTATCGAATTTAAATATTATTGATTTCGTTAGATGCGCCAAGTCTTTCTCTATCGATTGGTAGAAAAACTATTGAAATTCGACAGCCCAGCACCAAGAAATTCGAGTTTAAAGTTTTGCCAATACCAGGGATTGCCAATGGCAAAAGAGAGCTGGACGACGGGCCTTTTATACACGCCCGCCCCTTTGCCATTGGCAATCTAACTTTGAGTTGAAATATCTCGGTGTTGAGCTGTTTAATTTAAATGTTTTTCGTATCATTAGCTGCGCCAAGTCTTTCTCTATCGATTGGTAGAAAAACTATTGAAATTGGACAGCCCAAAGCCAAGAAATTCGAGTTTAAAGTTTTGCCAATGACAAGGCGACGGGGATTGTCAATGGCGAAAGAGGGCGGGGATTGCCAATGGTAAAAAGGGGCGGGGCGCGTATAAAAGACGCCCCGCCCTTTTGCTATTGACGATACAACTTTGAACTCAAATTTCTCGATCTTCGGCTGTCCAATTTAAATAGTTTTTGTACCAATCGATAGAGAAAGACTTGGCGCATCTAATCATACCGAAAATATTTATTTGTAAAGCCCAAGGCAAAGATATTTGAACTCAAAGTTGGATTGCCAATGACAAAAGGGGGCGGAGCGCTTTAAAAAGACGAGCGCCCCTTTTTGCCATCGACAATCTGACTTTGAACTCAAATATCTCGGTGTTGAGCTGTTTAATTTAAATGTTTTTGTTATCATTAGATGCGCCAAGTCTTTCTCTATCGATTGATATAAAAAACTATTGAAATTGGACAGCCTAAAGCCAAGAAATTCGTGTTTAAAGTTTTGTCAATATTAAATATCCCACAATCGGACAAATAACGATTTTTTCTGATTTCAACTCAATTTTTTAACGACTACGCAACTGTACACCTTTAAAGAGATCACTTACTAAATAATGTAGGCATTGGGATTCGTTTGATCTTTTCGATTGAAGATTTGAGCGCTGTGTGAGCGAGCATAGCGATTTTTTCTAAAAGTCGAATAAACAAAGCTTTAATCATCCATAACTTTATCCAGAGATCATATTTTTCTGAACTTTTTATATCATTTTAACAAGGAAATTTTAGGCTTTCTAATGACATCAAATAGAGTTTTATTGGATAATCCAATCCAGAAAAATCAAGCAATACAGCATCCGAGTTGAATCGGATACTGTACTGCTTGTTAGCTTTGATTTTCTTGAATTGGATTATCCAATAAAACTCTATTTGGTGTCATCAGAAAGCCTGAAATGTCCTTGTTACAATGTTATAAAAAGCTAAGAATAATATGATCTGTGGACAAAGTTATAGACCTTCAAAGCGAGACGACTCGTTCAAAATACTCGAAAAGCCGATAAATCTAAAGATATTTAGATAACTAGATGATTTCTATTTATAGACTTAGATTTAGATGAATCTATAGATATCTAGATAACCAGATAATTAGTTAATCAAACGATTTATATCTTATATAAACTTAGAAACACGTTTTAGGAAACGTTTTTGGTCAAACGAACAAATCGACTAAAGCTTTTTGACCGTTTTTTTTTACCATAATCTTGTCTCTATTTTATCTAGTCTATTCACTTTTTAGTTTACAAAAGATATCGAAAGATAGAAGAAGTCTAATGACATCAAATAGAGTTTTATTGGATAATTCAGTCCAAGAAAATCAAAGCCAACAAGTAGTACAGTATCCGATTCAACTCGAATGCTGTATTGCTTGATTTTTCTGGATTGGATTATCCAATAAAACTCTATTTGGTGTCATTAGAAAGCCTAAAATGTCCTTGTTACAATGATATAAAAAGTTAAGCAAAATATGATCTCTAGGTAAAGTTATAGAGCTTTAAAGTTGGCCACTCACAAAAGACTTGCAACCTTTTTTCCGAGAAAATCCTGTGTTGGCGCTTTAAAGTGTGGTAAAACTACCGTACTCCAATTTACGTGAAATTTTATTTTTTTCATTTTTGTTCATTTCATTTTATTCTTTTTGCGTTTTTCGAATGTGTTTGCGTTTGTTTTTGCAGGAAACAAAGAGAATAAAGCTAAATTACTTTTTTAACAGCATTTTCTATGGCGAATGCTTTGTTTAGAGTTTTTTTAGACTCAATTACTTCCGGACGATCTGTTTCACGAACTTGATGCCAACTAATGTTAAGTTAAGTGCTTTTTATCATTTTCTATATCGAGAGCTTTGTTTAGGGGTTATTTCGACTCAATTGCTTTCCGATGATCTGCTCCACGATGTTCACTAATGTTAAGTTAAGTGCTTTTTATTATTTTCGATATCGAAAGCTTTGTTTAAAGTCTTTAGACTCAATTGCTTCCTGACGATCTGCTTCTCGATGCCAACTAATGTTAACTTAAGTGCTTTTTATCATTTTCTATATCCAAAGCTTTTAGAGTTTTTTAGAGACTCAATTGATTCCTGACGATCTGCTTCTCGATGCCAACTAATTTTAAATTAAGTGCTTTTTATCATTTTCTATGCTTTGTTTTTGTGACTTTTTAGTTGAAAAAGCGTTGAAACGTTGAAAAAAAAACGCAAAAAAAGAATAAAATGAAATGAACAAGAATGTAGAAAAATGAAATTTCGCGCAAATTGGAGGGATACGGTAGGTTTTATCACACTTTAAAGCGCCAATCCAGGATTTTCTCAGAAAAAGGAAAAAGTCACAATAGACGACGACAAAAGCCGTCTTTATGTTACAAGAGCTTTTAAACTAACTGTTTATGTTTCTCTAGTGCTAATCGATCCCTTAGTTCAGCTTCGTCGTCATGAAAATCAGAGATCATTGAATCTTCAAGTTCTCGTTTAGCTGATGAAGTTGATCGAGCTCTTCGTGATTTCGGTTTTGAGGAGTATTTCTCTAAAGATTTCACAACAATCAACAATCAATGATCAATTTTAAAAAAAACCACTCACCCCGATGATACGCAGCCGGAGCACTGTGTTGTTTATTTCGACTATCATAGTCATCATAATCATCAAATTCTAAAATAATACCCTATCTCGTTTTCTTTTCTTTTCAACCTCTTCCCCTTGACTTTCCTCCACTATATCTTCTATCGTAATCATCATAATAGTCATCTAAACAGAACAGAACAGATTTTGATTAAAGTAAAAGCTTTATTCTAAAAGGAATCGATAATTTCACCTTTTCCTCGGGTTTTTGCTGATCGTGCGTGTCTCTCATTACTGTAGTAATCGTATCCTGAAAGAATTCTCCTGTAATCACATTCTTTATCTACCATTAGGTTCAGTTTCTTGCTTTCTTGAAGTGCTGGGTTGATCGGTGATGATGGATAAAGCTGGGGTGGAAAGGGCTTCACTGCAACAACAATCATTCAATCGAAATATTCAATCAATTAATGCTAATTAATGCTAGCACTTTAACTCAAAGCTTCAAGAGACAATCTTCTAACAAATTTTCACCGATACGCATCCTCGTAATCGCGTGCTTTTCCCAGTAGTTCGTCCTCTTTTACGAGTTCTTTATCCCTTTTTCTTCTTTCCTTTCTTTGCCTCGAGTTTCTTCACTGGACGTCGAATTCCTTGTTGAGAATGAGTCGAGGTATAGGTGAGATATTCAGCTAAAAGGAGACTGTACAACTGTAATCGAAGAAGCCTATTCATCCAAAACCAGACCAGAGCTAGGACTTGATCCAGGCTATGCTAGAACGAAGCTGAGTTAGGGACAAGATCGGTTCAGGATCAGATCTCTAGGTTTAAGACTAGGACTTGAACTGGGACCAGGAGCAGATTAGAGATAGAATTAGGCCCGGGTTATGCCTCTAGGTCCAGAACCTGACTCAAGCTGAGCCAGGATCACATCTTAGGTCCAGAACCAGAATCTGAGTCAGGTTGAACCAGGGTCAAGACTAGGTTAGAACCAGGACCAGTTCAGGGTCAAGGATCTAGGTCTAGAACCAGAACCAGAACCAGAACCAATTCAAGGTCAAATCTCTAGGTCCAAGGCTACAGCCAGAAGCAGACCTGATGCCCGTCCCTGTTCTAGATTTACTGAACTAAATGATAGCAAAATTGACTATCGGTACCAATCTTGTCGCAGATAACTTCTAAATCCCACTCTTCTCCATCTCTTGCATTTGACTTTGTCTCCTCAAATCGAAATTCGATCCACTTTGCGAGATCGAATAGTACTTCCTCTCGGCGAGCATTTTTGGATGAGTGATCGGAATGAAAAGAATCGATTCATCATATGGGTCGGTGGGTAGATCCGAATGCGAAATCGATGTGCGCAAAGGTTTATAAAAGTACAGAAATTTGAGTATAAATGTAAAATTTCTCCGTCAAACCTGTAACACTTTTCGCACGTTCTTTTTCAGGTTATTCCATGGACGGTGAATGATTTTTGGTGAAGGTTGTTTGGTGAGGAATTCTACGGTCGCAGAGTTATTGGTGCTGAAATTCCACTGCAAATTGGTGCTGTTTAAAGGCTTTCTTCTTACAAGTCGTTCTCTAAAATTTGCGCCTCAAAAAAAGCCACCATAATTCTATACGTCAAATTGGTGCTATTTTCTAAAAGTTGCTCTGACAAAAGCTACCGTAATGCCAGCGGTTTAAGAATTACCTGATTTTATTAGGATGGTGCAAAAGAAACTGCCGATGGGTATCAGCTCTCATTTATCAGAAACGAGCGATGCTAACGGCATTATTCTTTTAATGTTTTGTTCGCATATTTGTTTGCTATTTATTTCGACATTTGAATCTTTTGGTTGTTGTTTATTTTATTTTAAAATGCTTATATTTTTTTATTTAGATCATGATCGAGCAAAATTTTGTGCTACGAGCTGTTTAACTTCAAAATTGGAAAGTCTGTTGCCGAATCGCATCGTTCTCTCTGTGCTGCTCGTTCTCTGTCTCTCGGAGATGGCAGTTCGTCTCTCAGGCAGTGTCAGACTTGGTTTCAACGATTCCGAGAGGGAGACGAGAATTTGGAAGATTACGAGCACGGTTCGAGTCGTGAACGTTCGAGGCCAGAAGTCGTGAGCGAAGCCAAGCTGAGGGACGCTATTCAGGCCCAAATTTAGAGAGATAAGGAACCAAATTCAGAGAGATAAGGCATATCTCGAGCAGATATGCCAATCTGCTCGAGATCTTGCGAAAATATTCCATTGTGATCATGTCACCATCGAAAGCCATCTTTTTTTTTTAAATTTACCGTCAAATCGGCAGTTTCTTTTGCACCACCCTAATAACAATCGAAATACGATACCAATTTTAACAATCGAAGTACGATAGCTTTCTCTTAAGAGCACTTTAGAAAAGCGTTTAGAAAAAAGTTTTAATCGAACTTTCCACTGTAATCATCGATTGGACTAAAACTTAATAAGGAAAATTCACAGCAAAAAAAAACTCTCTCCTAATTCACAATGTGTTTACCGTCATCTCCATCGCGAGAATACTTTCCACTTTTATGGTGTATCGACTCAGCTGGTCTAGGAGAAGATTGATATAAAAGAAAGAAAACTCACGGATCAAAGGATTCATCACCGGCCACATAGTAAGTGCCATTCTCGTGAATATCTTCTTCATGCATGATTCGGCGACCGTCTCTGAAATTTCGCAAATGATGACATTTGAAGCGTAGTAGCGTTTAAGCGAGTTGCGTAGTTGTTACTGTTTTACTGATAATAGTCATTAATACGGCTAGGGTTAGGGTCAGGTTCAGGTCAATTGTAAGGGCTAGGTTAAGATCAGAATCAGAGTCAATCAGGATCATTTAAATCTCAGACTAGGCTTACTAGTAGCCTTCAATTCAGTTTTTTCCTCCTAACAAGTACAAATTGCCCGTTAATATGTAAATAAAATTCGATAACGATAAACGAACAATAAATTCATCGCTTATGCATAACGATAAACGACTACGATAGCTGCTAATGAGAATTTGAGCTGGTGAAACTTTTCGAAGTCTATTAGTATTAAATTAACTAAGAAGAGAAAATTCCAAGCCAAACCTAATTCCATCTTCGTTTTCTCAGCCGTCTCAGATTATTCTCAAATTTTGTTTACAAATAAATAATACAAATTAAATAGACTGCTTGTAGACAAAATTTCCGAGCAATCAGCAAAGAGACGGCTGAGAAAACGAAGGTGGAATTAGCTTCGGCTTGGAATTTTCCCATGTCTAGCTAACAAAAAGCTTCAAGAAAGTAGCAAGTGTGTCCAGAAATCTATCGATTAAATTTCTGATATTTCTTTAGATTCATAATCTCTAGCTTATATTGTGCTTTATTTGTTTAAATCTCTTCCACTTTCTCTACAAGATCTCTTTGTGTAGATAAATCAGTTTTCGAGTCTACAGTCTGCCACTGAACTACCAGCGACGGAAAATAAAGTAAATATGTAATTATTCCTATTGTAATCATTCCACAAAGTGTTCATTTCTCTCCACCACCCACCGATCATATAAAATCATCGCATCGTGAAGTCCGACAAAGTCGCCAGCCGACTCGGTCAATTGATCCAAGCTAGGAGCTTGCAATTGTCTCCAAATGTACAATTTTGGTCTAAAATTTTTCTTGAAACAAGAGATCTATTGGGTATACGGTACAAATTTTGGTACTAGCCTAGCTGGGCGAGGGGAAGGGGGCTTTTTTTCTTTTAAAACCACTTTTTCTGGGGTAATTTTATGCGTAGATTCCAAAAAACACCACGAGAACTTTGGAAAAGGCGTTTTAAACCGAGTTTCGGGGCTCCAAAGACCGATTTTGACTCATGTGGGGACTACATGATCAAAATTTAGAAAAAAAATTTTATTTTGCTCAAATTTGTTCAGAAACGTAATCAGTAGGTTAAATTATGCCAGAAGAAGTGTTTTTGGTTTCAAAAAACGTTTTGTGAGCCTATATTTAGACCTCTTTCCTATGTGGATCCCTATCATCACACTATATGAGCGCGCACTTTGGAGCCCCGAAATTCGGCTTAAAACGCATTTCCCTAACCTCTCCCTGTGTTTTTCGGCCTCTACGCATACAAGTACCTGAGAAAAAGTGGTTTTAAAGAAAAGAAATAGTGCCCCCCAACCGGGCTAGCATCCAAATTTTATAGGAAGATAAAGTAAGAAATGGTGGCAGTTAAAGAATCACTGGACCTCCGTCAAGAAAGAGTTCAGTCTAGCCTCAAAGAAATTGGCTCAAAGACACGAGTAAATGGGGGTGGCTACTTTGCGGCAAATTTTTTTGCGCAACTTGCCATAACTTTCTTCTAATGGGCCAATCTTTATGATTTTGGTGTCATTTAGTTGCACAACGAGAGCTTGGGAAAATGCGTTTTAAGCCGAGTTTCGTGGCTCCAAAGTGCGAGCTCATATAGTTTGATTTTGGTGCCATTTAGTTGCACTTGTTGAGTCATTTAGTTGCACTACAAAAGTACACCAAAATCAAACTATACGAGCGCGCACTTTGGAGCCCCGAAACACGGCTTAAAACGCATTTCCCTAACCTCTCCTTGTGTTTTTCGGAATCTACGTATGAAGTTACCCCAGAAAAAGAGGTTTTAAAGGAAAAAATTGTGGCTCCAACTAGGCTAGCATCCAAATTTTATAGTAAGATAAAGTAAGAATGGCACTCACTTTCCCGGCGAATCATCTCCATTTTTCTTCAAATAGATTCTCTTCACCGCCGGTCGATTTGTCCGATTCTCGAGGCGTTGACTTTCAGGTCTAAAAAAATGAAAATAGAATCAAAGCTAATAAATATTCAGTTAATATTAATAAATAAGAAAAGAAAAGCAGAAAATTGGGGTTGGGATTCATTGAAAACTAGGAGAAAATGAAAAAGCGAAAAATTTCGCTTAACTTTGAGCCTTTATAGTGTAAATTTTTGTCGAAAAGATATTCAGCTAAGTCATGAAAATTCAACAATTGCAAAAAGAGCAATTTTTAGAAAACAGGATTTTCCAATTTACGTCTTTAAACCGTCTTTTTTTTTTGAAAAAACTGCAATCATTTCATTTTTTTAACTTTTTTGCTATTTTTGCTATTTTTACTATTTTTACCATTTTTAAGCGGCTTTTAAGTATTTTCAGCAGTTTTTTAGCATTTTTAAGCATTTTAACCATTTTTAAGCTTATTGAGAATGCAAAACCGGGGGGTGGGACAAATGCGACCTTTTTTTGCGCACCCGGACATTTGCGCACTTTTTTTTTGCTGGAAAAGGCCTTAGGCAAGGCCGTAGAGCTTCGAAAATATTTTCATATAAGGGAATCGTATGCGTAGATTCCGAATTTTGACAAATCAGACCTCGCTGACACGTCAAATTTGGGTTAAAAGGCAAAAACTGCGGAAAAGCGTTAAGTTGCTTAGTTTTTGCCTTTTAGCCCAAATTTGACGTGTCAGCGAGGTCTGATTTGTCAAAATTCTGAATCTACGCATACGATTTCCTTCTATGAAAACATTTTTGAAGCTCTACGACCTTGCCTAAGGCCTTTTCCAGCGAAAAAAAGGTGCGCAAAAAAAGGTCGCATTTGTCCCACGCCCAGAAAATTATCTTTTCTCGGATCTTTCCGTCAATTTATACCCAGATTGCAGTAGTTTCGACGCAAAAGTGTCGAAATGGCGTAAAAGTGGCCGGCTACTGTATTTGACACATTTTAGAAAACACAAAAACTCCTTCAAACGTTCAGAGGTAGTAAGTACCTATAACTTTTCGTAGACTTATTCAATTTACATGATTTTGGTATCAATCGATAGGAAATTTTCTCGCGCGTTGAATGACATCAAAATCATGCAAATTCGATAAGTCTATCATAAGTTATAACCAAAAAGTACTTTGTACACCTATGGACGTTTAGGGAGACGTATTGGAACCGTATTAGATCAAAGTCTCGGAATCGTTTTTCATCACAAACCTGTCATAGTAGTCTCCTCTTTTCCTCTTGTTCAACTCAACAAACGAGACGTAATTGTAGGGATCGTACATAGCTGGAGCTAAATTTCTTGAAATTCATTTAGAATTGATCAGTTACGCGGCTTTTTCGCAAAGATTTGCATTAATTACCAAAGCGCGCAGAAACAAACCTACTGGTGCTGAGGTCAAAGCGTTTGTTTGAGAATAAACTTAGACTACGCAACGCTCCTATAGGGGGTGCTTCTATTAAAGCTTTTACGGTATCTACTATATATAAAGCAGAAGAGACGTCCGTCTGTCTGTCTGTCTGTCACAGGCACTTTTCTCGACGCCCAGATCGAATTTCGAGATGCACTTTTTTGGTTCGATAGGAAATTTTATACTGATTCCGCCCCCAAAAAAATCAAGAAAATCCATCAAACCAATTTTTTTTAAAACTCCAAAAACTGCAAAACTAGCCGAGCCCGATGTTGCCTAACTTCCTCTCCGCGCGCAGATGGCCGAGTGGTTAGAGCGCGTGTCTCTCAAAGAGGGTGGGAAAGGGGGGTCGTGGGTTCGATCCCCTCCGAGAAAATTAGTTTTGCTTTTCTTTTCAAAATGGATTTTAACCGTTGAAAAGTCAATTTCGATAGTTTTGCGGTATCATTTGAGGTAGGGGAGCGAACCGTTTGTCCTAATTGCATGAACACTATGTGTTAGTATTGGGTCGATGGAAAAGTCCTTTTCGATTTTTTGGGAGAGTACCTTAAATTTGTCGAATTTTGACGTTTTATAGCTAATCCTAAAGCTGAATTCAAGACGGATCGATTGGTAAAAACCGTTTTCGCGAAAAGCGAAAAAGCGGCGGAAAGGCTATTGATCTGAGGGTCGCTGGTTCGACTTCCACCGGTGACAATATTTTTCAAAAATTTTTTGCTAAGATTCTGAAAATGCGTGTCTAGGGGTTATTTTTGACGCCGATCACGAAACACATGTTTTTAGCCTAGATTTCTGCACGGAAAACTAAGGAAACGTGAAAACAGCCATTTTTTGGCTCTGCCGCCCTTTACTAAAATAGCTGTAAAAACTTTTAGAAAAGAGATATCTCAAAACGGTTTTTACCAATCGATCCGTCTTGAATTCAGCTTTAGGATGAGCTATAAAACGTCAAAATTCGACAAATTTAAGGTACTCTCCCAAAAAATCGGAAACGACTTTTCCACCAATACAACAAAGTCTACAATGAAGTTCCCAAATAAGCTATGGAAAAATATCCCTGCTTACGAAGACAATATAATTATCGATTGGCACGACAAAAAGGATTATAAATCGAAAACTTACACGCCATATTGCCTATAAAACTCAAAAATCGATTAAGAGGAATGACCTGCTTGGGTCTTTTTCCAAAGTGATGCCTGGTGATGATTGCTAATTCATTATGAATAAACCTGTGTTCTTCGAAAAGAAAACAGCTCACTAGGAATTCTTTTCTCTGGATTTCCGTCAGAACTCTTGGATCTCCAAGCAACAATGACAAAGACGAAAGGAAAAAAGCGAACAAAGAAGAAATTCTTGCGCTTTCCCGTTGCGCGGTGACCACACAAAGCTGTATTTTGCTCATCTCTACTCGAATTTCAAAAATTGGCAAATGAGTTAAATGGGTTGAAATTGAAATTCAGCACCAAACAGACCGTGATCATTTCAATAGCACGTTTTAGAGAGGTGTACGGTAATCGGGGCGCGCTTTAGACGGATACGGTAGCCCTTTAGCGGGTACAGTAGTCCTTCTATTAGAAAGGTCGCAAAGGACTCAAGACCCGGCTGTTCACACGACCTCTGCTGCAAGCTCAAGGCCGGATGCAAGTTCGATAACTGAGCGACCCTCATCGAGTTGCCCAACAGCCACCAATCTTAAATCTTTCCCATTGCGCTCATTTGTGGCTTTTGTGTAAGCTCATTGGCTGAATAAATTGTGTAGCCATTGTGTTAGCTTACATTTTGTGAGGCCAATAAAGCGTGTTTTTCATTGAATGTCTTTTAGGCATGTACAATGAGTTTGAAATGACAAATTTTATTGTGCTCAAATTTCTGTACAGGCGATTTAAGTGTAAACTCACAGCTAAAGCGCAAGAAAAAAAAACTGAAAGTAGCAAAATATAAGTGTTGAATTGAAAATGACTAGAAGTTGGAAAAGAGATTAAAAAACATATCTTTAGATTTTTCCTTGTAAAGCCTGGACGATAGTGTCAATCTTTTCTTGAGTTGTTGAAATTTCTATCGCTTTCCATTCCAAATCCTGTTGTAGCTAAAATAGAACTTGATCAAAGGTTAAAAAAAACCCCCGGTTAAAAAATCGAGTCAAAAATCAAAAACAAAAATGATACGTTCCAACCTTGTAATTCACATCTTGGGCTTCGCTTACTTGTTGAGATAGGCTTTCGAAGGCTTTCTTCCAGAAGGACGCGTCATTTACTCTAAAGTGTAGCAATAAGACAATCAACAGTATAAAACCAACTTTACATTGTCCGAACTCGATGAAGGTATTGATATTGACGTTTCAAGTGCCACCGATAGTGTAGTTTGCTTCAAATATAACTTTTATGCAAAGAAAGTTGGGTGCTATAGCAGTTCGGGGGCCAGTATACATTCGTCTTTCTTGAACCAGAGCGCTCTAATTTCCGCACCTAGGGTTTTTAATAGCGTAGATTCTTAAATGATCTATTTAATCTATGGTATCTATTTAAGCTTTAGTAACTGTTTTCTAGCTATTTCATGCAGTTATCGATGTTTTAAGCCTCTTAATTCGGTTTCGCACCTTTAAACCCAATGAAATTAGAGCCCCAGTTGAAGGCTCAAAAATCTTGCTCAAACTGGCATAAAAGTTATTCCAAATGGTTTAAAAATGCTTTTAATGGATCCGGGCATAGCCGATTACTTCAGAAAAGTTTTCAAAACTAACGAAGAGTTCAAAAAGACTGGTGTTTACAAACTTCTCTAACAAACAAACTAAACTACAAACCTCCCTAAAACTACTATAGCACCGAAAGATATTTGAAGTTACCTCTGTTTGAGAAGAAACATGACTCAGTGGCTGCTCTTCTTCAAAAATGTCCCAATTTTGCCCGACACTGTGTTGCATGCGTTTCGATGACGGTTCGACACTATGATGCATCTAAATTTTTTTACTATATAACGAGCAACAGAACGAACTTTCATAAATCATAGCATGGAAAAGCAAGTTATAAAGTTTCGTAAATTTTCAGAGCAAAATAGGAACATCATCAGTTAAATAACAACATGAAAATCACTGTACAGCGCATCGTCAAATCATAGCAATATTCTTCAATAACAATAGAATTGCAAATAGAATGCAACAATAGAAGTTTAAAAACTACAAATCCGGCTTATATTGTACCGCCGTGTGCACGTTGTGTATGGCCGTCGAAAACGATCGGAGTTGAACCTGCTCAGCGTCTTTGATCAAACAGGCTCCACTGTCCGTCCAATCGGCTGGTGTGTCGGCGGTAGCATCGCGTTTCGTGTAAATCAGCACATCAAATAGACAAGCCGTTTCCAGTAGAGGCAGAAATGTGACAGAGGCGGTGATTTGTCGAATCACGTCGGCCATCTCTTGTCGAATTTTCTTCTCGTCTTTTTGCCGTGTCGAATTCTCGCCCTCCTCGTTAACGTCTTCGGTCTCGATCTTGAACTCCCATCGCTCAATCACCTCTTTCGTTTTGACTTCTTGAATCACGACAACCAACTTTTTGAGGGCTTTCCGGGCGAGGAAACTTTCGACCTGCTTGAGGAGAGGGTTGAGGAATTCCTCGAGTTTCGGATTCGTCGAAACGAGCAGCGTGAGTCCGTATTTCTTCTCGCGTCTGAACGAGTCGGCAGGGTAGATTCCACGCTGGTAGAGGATGCTGTTGATGCCGAAGTTGAAAAACTCTTGCACAAGGGTGGCCGAGCCCTTCAACGAGATGCTTCCGCGCGTCTTTGTGTCCGTCATCTTCGGCGGGTTTGCTTCTAAAATCGAAATTTAGTCAAAAATTTGAAAGATATGTGATAAGAGATTCAAAAATTTTGAAGGATGCTCATCTAGGCTAGAAAATGTCTTTGAATGGCTTTCAAAAAGCGCGGTTCGGGGGTGTTGCGTTGATGGAAATGTACTAGTCGTGGGAGAAAACAAGAAAGTCGCACTTTCCGAAAAAAGGAGAGCTAAAAGCGCGCTTTGAAATGAAATTTTGACTTTACGAGGAAAATTTATTAGATTGATGCACAATTTTTTTTCCAAACTTCTTTTAAAAATAATGCTGCCACCAAAAAAATTTCTATTTGAGCTATTTAAAAAGGTTAATTGTTTCTCTGCAAAATGGCTTTTGGGGAATTCTTGGATTCTTGGAAGTAGTTGTTTTTGTGGATTTTCAAAGGCAAGCACCCAAAACTGCGTCGATTTAACTTAGATTTGCAATCTAGACACTTTCTTTAATACAAATCTATTTTGGGTGTGAAAGTAAAAAAGATAGAGCTTATTTGGTTACTAAGATAGAGCTTATTTGGTTGCATAAGTCTGCGAAATTTGAAAACGATCCGTTCAGCTATTTTTCTTTAATACAGCCATTGAAAATTTTACAAACCAAAAATGCGTTTTTACCGAGTTTAGGCAAGCTTTCAGCTTTCTATTAAAAACCATTTTGTAGAGAAACAATTAACCTTTTTAAATAGTTCAAATAGAAATTTTAATAGGTTTAGAAAGCAAAAAAATTTGGTAAAGGATTCTTTTTGATGGAAACAAAAATTTGGGGGTGGGACAAATGCGACCCTTTTTTTGCGCACCCGGACATTTGCGCACCTTGCCCATTAGCGCACCTTTTTCGCGTCTTAAAAAGCTCTAAAAAGCTAATATTAACCAATTTCTATTCCAAATGTTGTTTTTCTAGATAATTTGAGGGTGTCGAATTCAAATTTTGACATAGCAGAGCGTGTGGAACCAATTTGAAAGACAAAACGGCTAGGTCAAATTACAGAAATTACAAATTGTCGATTTTTCTCTTTGTATAACTCCGTCCGTTTGTTTCCACAAGCTCTGATATGTTAAAATTTGGCTTCTACGCTCTTAAAACGCGATAAAAACGTGCACAAATGTCCAAACCAAATTTGAAAAGAGCAAACGGGTATAAACAGAAAATTGTTGATTTTTCCCTATGCATAACTCGGTCCGTTCGCTTCCACAAGCTCTGATATGTCAAAATTTCGATTCTACACCCTAAAATTACCTAGAAAAACAACTTTTGGAATAGAAATTGGTTAATATTAGCTTTTTAGAGCTTTTTTTAAAACGCGAAAAAGGTGCGCTAATGGGCAAGGTGCGCAAATGTCCAGGTGCGCAAAAAAAGGTCGCATTTGTCCCACCCCCAAAATTTGAGAAAATTATCCGGCCTATGCACACCTATATTATAATATTTGATCTAGTAAAGATATTCAGTTATTTAGTTGAAATTTGCTCGCTTTCTTTCTCGCCGTTGTTTGGTCGTTATGAGCATTTTTGTGTGTTTCTTCAATCAATATCTAACTTTTTTTTGTTTTAGAATGCCCAGAGAGGAAACAAAAGAGGAGGAAGAAGAGCGCAAGGCTCGCAGCGCCTACGATTTGGTTCGGCTTCGTTTAAAAAGACTCGAGCAGAATATTGTGAGTTTGGTTTTAAACTACCAGAAGTCTTCGAAGCTTAAAGGCTTGGAGCCTGTCATGTTGGGCGGGCTTTTTTTCTTTTAAAACCTCTTTTTCTGGGGTAGCTTCATGCGTAGATTCCTGAAAACACAACGAGAAATTGGGAAAATGCGTTTTAAACCGAGTTTCAGGGCTCCAAAGTGCGCGCTTCCATAGTGTACTTATGAAGCCCAAGCTATCGACTATTGGGGGACTTTCAATGTCAAAACTAGAGCCAAAACTATTTTTAATCACTAATATTCATTTTCTAACTTAAATTCGCTGGTAGAGGCAAAAAAAATTGAGAAAATTTTTTGAGTTTTGACCGATTTTGACTCGTATGGGGAAACATAATCAAAATTTGGAAATAAAAAATTTATTTTGCTTCAATTGGATCAGAAATGCAATCAGTAGGTTAAATTATGCCAGAAAAAGTGTTTTTGGTTTCAAAAAATGTTTTGTGAGCCCATATTTAGACCTCTTTCCTATCTGGATCCCTATCATCACACTATATGAGCGCGCACTTTGGAGCCCCGAAACTCGGCTTAAAACGCATTTCCCCAAGCTCTCCTTGTGTTTTTCAGACTCTACGCATACAAGTACCCGAGAGAAAGTGGTTTTAAAGAAAAAAAGTGCCTCCCCCCCAACATGACATGCTCGGCTTTGCCCGTTAATTCAATTGGTTTTAGCACAAGCCAGTCGTGATTCCAGCAATGCAAGAAAAGCTTGTTGCTCCCAAGCCGCCACCCGAATTTGTCCGTAATGTTGTTGGTTCCTCGGCTGCAGCTGGAAGTGCTGAATATCACATTTACAGGTGTGTTTTGTTTTGGTATTATGGAACTAAGGTTTTTAAGTATATGTAGACGTTTTGGACGTTTGCTTTTTAAACTCACATAACGTTTAAGGAATAATCGACGAAAAGAATACAATCGGATCGATTACATCAACGCCAAAGCCAAGCTGGAAGAAGAAGCAGCTGATTTCGCAGCAAAACAAGCGGATGTCCAAGAAGTGAGTCATTTCTCTTCTTGTCATACTACTTTGAGTTATTAGGAAGAGGATGACCGTACCGCAAAGAAACGAGCAAAACGGCAGCGACTAAAGGAAAACAAAAAGAAGAAAAAGAAGCCAAAGCGAGAAAGCGGTGAAGATAGCTCGGATGATGAAGAAAGCGAATCAGACGAGGAAGCTAAAGTCGTGAAAACGGACGCCGTATAAAATTTGCGTTGTGTTTTTTATAAATTTTAAAATCGTATATTCAGCAATCACTTTAAAAAAATCAAATAAATGTGCACCTAAAAATAAACACCAAAAGTTACAAGTCTTTGGAATGAAAGTGAGTCAAGAAATTGCAATAAAATTAAAGTATAGAGGGCAAAAAAAATGCATAAGACTGGAATGTACCTACTAAACTTTGACAAGTAAAATGTAGAAAGGCTTCAAACAAAATTTTTACACGTTTCAGTGGAAGTGCAGCAATCGTCTGAAACGGCTTCTCGATTCAGCACCGCATCCTCACCCTAAAATTGATTCATTAATCTTTTAAATCAAAGTTTTTAAAATGTGCAGTGTGGTTGAATCATACATGTTTTATTACATGCACACGACACCAGCCAAATAAAAAAAACTCACCGTAATGTTAAATGCGAAAAAACGATTTATATCTCAATTCGTTCCTTTTCAGCGTATTCATCGGTAGATCTTATCCGTCGTGATTCGTGAATTGGAACAGTTGTGGCTTTCGTAGGGTCCAATGTTTCATCGAAAACAAGATGATCCTCATCGGTTCCTGATCCGTCGACACATCGTGGTGGAGTCATGGGTCCATCAGTCAAGCGAAGAGGCTAAAATATTAGTGTGGTGCCACAACACAACAATGTTTGCTATCAAGCACAAGGCTTTCGTGCATAAAAACACAAAATTCACACAGTTTCTCAAGTCAATGAAAATCCCTACCGTAATATCTGATTTATCTTGAGCACCATGCCATAACCGTCCCCATTCCTTTCGAATGAGAGCGGTGATGCAGACCGGTATCAAGGTGGCTGGAACGAGATAGATGAGGGCTGGCTGAGCGATCCCCATCAAAGTCAAAGCCACGAACGTAATCACCAAACCGACACCGTAGCCTAAATACACGGATTAGAGAAATCTAGCTTTGAATCCTACCTATACTGCAAATAATTCCATAAATTAATCGCGTTTGCGCTGGGAAACCACCCATCGTGAAGCAATGGCTGATGAGATATCCTGAAAAATTGTTAAAATTGATGTAACTCCACGACGTAAAAAAACCTGGAATTATGATGTCGCCGAGTCCCAAAATCGTCATTTGATATCCTCGTTCCACCTCCACATCGACACATTCGAGCATCGGGTCAAAGTGCATCACTTGCATCAACATCGGAAACTAAATAACTAAGATGTAACTATCCTATTCTAGGAGACCCTCACCTTTTCTGGTAAATTTGCATCGATTGGTGGCGTTGGATAGCCTCCACCCGAAGAAGAGCTGCAATCCAGACCCGTCGCGACCTAAAAACTTTGTTTTCTCAAGTCAAATGCAAATCATCCCACCTGTAACATCACCGAGCAACCAGAAGGAGTTAAGAACGGCGTGAAAAAGACCATAAACGCATCGTAGACGAACATGCAGACCATCAACCCGGTTATCCACTGAAATCAAAACAATTTCAATAAAGTCAATTTACAAACCTTGAGACTAGGTAATCGTAGAGACTTCAAAATATGCAGACACATTGTAAAATTGATGAAGTCGAGTAAAATCCACGCGTATGGCGCATTTCTCGTGAAGAACCAGAAAACACAAAGCGCGAGGCACCACCCATAAAGGAAGAAAGCCGCCAGCGAGGGTGCGTGTGAAATGCAACCCATCTCGGGGAATCTAAAATTTATTGTTGCTTTGAGTAATGAGTCACAACCAATATTACCTTGCGCAAAGCGGAGTTACGCAGCATTGTGGCCGTGCACATTTAAGGTTCGAAAGAAGAGCGTTCGCGCAGCCGTACACCGAGAAGGAGCCAAGTACAACGAGGAAAATATTGAAGACGACGACTGAAGAACAGAATTTGTTAATTTCAAACTGATTTAAGCTTACTCAACACCGGCCGAAAATAGTAGCCCAACATCAAAATTGAAACGAGAACAACCATCAAGATGAGAATAGCAAGTGTGTTGGCGTGTTTATTACAACATCTACAAATATTGCATTTCTAACTATGAAAAATATTCATACCCCTTGGAATCCTCTGGCTCGGGATGATGTACCTGTCGATTCTCATCTTTACCATTGCTAAAAGTGTTTTGTAAATAAACCGTAAACAATTTGCTCACTTGTGTCTGTAGAACGCCCAAAAGCCTCCTCCTGTGACGGCACCAACTGCGAGCAACCAAATGATGAGCATCGAAGCGTCCCATTGTGAAGACGGTGGTCGATGTATTTGAAGAGTAATCGATGGGTGATTGGATGGGTGATCGAGGGTCTAAATATATCCATTTCAACCATGTTTCTTTAAACGGCTAAACTTACAATGATCTTCTTGTCAAAATCCTCCTTGTAGGCGAAGAAAGTCGGGATTGCATCTGACGCATTCACGTAGGGATCGGTGAAGTCGGAGAAGAGAAAATCGCGCCAGCTCGTCACAAAGCGTTGCCCTTTGTTGAGTAGCAGCAAAGCAGCAGAAGCACCAAAGCTCTTCAGTTCATCAACCTAAAAATAATGTAATAAAAGTGAGAAAGTAACCATAAAGTTCAAAAATTATATACCTCAGATTGTGTGACGTTTCTAAAAGCCGATGAATCGTTGTTGAAAGACTCTACACAAGCGCGATCACCTTTTGAAGAGCCATTGACACGGTAGCTCAACGGGACAATGCTTCTAAACAAATTTTTTTTCTAGTGCATCAATAAAACAGCCTTACCCAGAGTAAGGTGTTGTGGCGAATTGTCGTGGCCCGTTGCACAAATCCAAGTTGCCCTCCTGTTCGGCCCACCAAACGAGAGGGTAGACTTCCTAAAAAATAACTTAGATAAGATTTAGATAAAGTCGAAATGTATGCTATAATTAGCAACATAATGCCGATCTTTCTTTTAGCTTATGTCTAAATTTAACCATCTTAAAAACATACAGCTGTTTCTCTTGTCTTGGCAACTTCTCGAATTTGCGATTGAAGGTAGTTCGCGCAGATTTGCACGCTTTCGCCGGTCTTCTGATTTGTTGCTGTGAGAAAAACGAAGGAAGTGCTGTAGACGCCATTTCTGCTTCGAGCCTAATTCATAAAAAATTTAAGTGTTTACAAAAAACGCTTACTTCAATTCCAATGAAGATTGCCCAAAATTGCAGCCATAGTAGGCGCATCGCCGTCCTGAAAAAACGCAAGTTTAATGATGATAGATTCGTGATTAAATCTTTAATAGATTCATGATTAAATCTTTAATAGATTCATGATTAAATGTTTAATAGATTCATGATTAAATGTTTAATAGATTCATGATTAAATCTTTAATAGATTCATGATTAAATGTTTAATAGATTCATGATTAAATCTTTAATAGATTCACGATTAAATCTTTAATAGATTCATGATTAAATCTTTAATAGATTCACGATTAAATCTTTAATAGATTCATTATTAAATGTTTAATAGATTCATGATTAAATCTTTAATAGATTCATGATTAAATCTTTAATAGATTCATGATTAAATGTTTAATAGATTCATGATTAAATGTTTAATAGATTCATGATTAAATCTTTAATAGATTCATGATTAAATGTTTAATAGATTCATGATTAAATCTTTAATAGATTCACGATTAAATCTTTAATAGATTCATTATTAAATGTTTAATAGACTCATGATTAAATCTTTAATAGATTCATGCTTAAATCTTTAATAGATTCATGATTAAATCTTTAATAGATTCGTGATTAAATCTTTAATTAAACGTTATTATATCCTTTCAATAAAAAGATATGTTTAGTGACCAAATTTTTAAATAAACATGATACCGATGATATTACAATAGTACCAAAAAAATTACCTTTACAAAAAGATAGTTTGGGAGGGCCCGTGTCGTGTAAGGCCTCGACCTTGATGTCGTTTCAGTCGATCCGATGGACTCCTGAAAAAAAAACGATAAATATGCATAGAACTTGTATTAATAAAGAAGAAAAACGGCAAAATTCAAGTTAAGAGCAAGTTAAGGGAGTTAAGAGCAAGTTAAGAGAGTTAAGAGCAGGTTAAGGGAGTTAAGAGCAGGTTAAGGGAGTTGAGAGTTAAGGGAGTTGAGAGTTAAAGGCAAAAGGGAGCTAAATCAAAGGATCACAACCAGTTTGACTAAAGCCAGGCATTTAATCCGTATCGATTTTAGAACTGTCTCTTTAAAAAGCTAAAATTAGGTCTACAAGATCGTAAAGGCTAGTTGTTTTCGCAAGAAAATAGAATTGATTCAAGTGAGGAGGGATGGAAAAGATTTATCGAAAAATAGGCTCGCCTTGACCTCACTTCCCCTTTGCCTCACAATTACCCCGACACTCACCCCAACATGCGAAAAAAAATCGAATCATACATCAAAAAGCGCGGGATCGAATGAAAGATTTCGATCGGCATGACTCTGTGAATAGCTCGAGAGGCATGGCTCGAGAGGAAAGCAAATTTTTGGATCGAAAAAGCTCGAAAGAGCAATGGGTAGAGCAATGGATGGAGGATTTGCGCAAGGAAACGAAATTTCTAGGTGTTAACTTTGAAAACCTAGGCAAATAGCTTATTTGAAATGAAAAACAGCGAAGAAGCGCTGAAAGTAAAGCCGATAAATGTCAAGATATGTTATTTTGTGACACTGAAAGCAGTAAATGAAGCGCCATAACGAACATTTGCATAAGTGTTTAATACTTTATTTAAAAATAAAGTGGGGTAGGCTAATTGCCGGCATTTTATTTTGCGCAACTCGCCATAACTTCCTTCTAAGTGGGCCAATCTTTATGATTTTAGTGTCATTTTGTAGATCTCAACAAGTGCAACAAAATGACACCAAAATCATAAAGATTGGCCGACTTAGAAGAAAGTTATGGCAAGTTGCGCAAAAGGCTCAGTTGCGCCAAAGAAAATGTCGGAAATTAGCCTAGTTTTTCCGTTCTACATGCATTCTACATGCCGTTCTACATGCGTTCTACATCCCATACTCTATGATTTCCTTTAGATTTGGATATATAATATAGTGTAAGGAAAAATGATACATAAAAATAATATAAGAAACGAATAGTGACGGTAATTCTCGTTTAATTTTGATTTCTCCGTTTGAACAAAAGTTTATACACAAGAGAATTTAAAGAATTACATTTTAAGGCATTTTTTAAGGCACAAAACGGTTACCAGAGACGGTTACCAGAGCCCCAATACCCGTTTCAGTCAAGCCTAGCCTAGTCTAGACCCAATATATCCAAATCTAAAGGAAATCATAGAGTATGGGATCATTCAAGGCATGTAGAGCGAAAAATAAACAACTACAGTTAAAGATTTTCTTGTTTTTTCGAGACAAATGCGACTTCTTTTTGCCCAGTACCCGGGACATTTTCGCACCTTTTTATCGCGTTTTAAGAGCGTAGAAGCCAAATGCCAATTTAACATATCAGAGCTTGTGGAAGCAAACGGACGGAGTTATGCATTGACATTCGACATCGACAATCGACAATTTTCTGTTTATACCCGTTTTATCTTTCAAATTGGTTTGCTCTGATATGTTAAAATCCACAAGCTCTGATATATTAAAATTTGGATTCTACACCCTAAAATTACCCAGAAAAACAACTTTTGGAATAGAAATTGATTAATATTAGCTTTTTAAATCTTTTTAGAGCTTTTTTTAAAAGCGAAAAGGCAAAAAAAAGGTCGCATTTGTTCTACTCCCGTTTTTATTGTTTTTTTTTTTTGTTTCTAATTGTTTTTAAAAATCTAAAAATCAAAAGCAAAAGATTCTTTAGATTGGTGTCGAATTGGGCAATCAATTCGCACGTGATAAGTGGTTATCAACGGGGCGCTTCTTCCGGCAAAAACACTTATTGAGTTGTTTTTGGGAAGAATTCTTTTATTGTATGGGCAAGGATTCAATCTTTACAACTGATACAATGAAATATCAGTGGTAAATCTCTATTGGCATAAGTCAAGCACAAGATGGCACAAGTGTCATCTCAAGCATGTAAACTAACCCTAAAGGTGAATTCGAAAGTTTATCACCGGCATCCAATCCAGTTAGATGCATCCAACCCTATCAACTAATTTGCACAAGTTCAATTGCTTTATTCAACTTACAGAGCACAAGCTATGTTGGTATAAATAACATATCCAGCGTAAATGCTCTAATAGAAGCCCCCTAAAGAAGCGTCGCGTAGTCTAAGTTTACTCTCAAACAAACGCTTAGATCTCAGCAACAGTACGTTTGTTTCTGCTCGTTTAGGTATCAAATTAAAGTAGAGAAGGTGGGTGATTTTTTGAGATATAACACAGATTTTTAGCTTTAACCAGCGCTTAGAAAAAATGATTGAAAAGTGGCAAAAAAGTGCCGATTTTCACCGACTTTCAATCATTTTTTCTAAGCGCTGGTTAAAGCTAAAAATCTGTGTTATATCTCAAAAAATCACCCACCTTCTCTACTTTAATTTGATACCTAAACGAGCAGAAACAAACGCACTGGTGCTGAGATCTAAGCGTTTGTTTGAGAGTAAACTTAGACTACCCGACGCTCCTTTAGGGGTGCTTCTATTAGAGCTTTTGCGTTATATAAATCGACCAATTAGACTACGCGACGCTCCTTTTCAGTAGTGAAAAGTTGGATATAGTTGGATATTTTGCTCTAGAGATGTATCATGTTACAGAAATTTCGAAAAAGTTAGAAAAGTCATTGGATAAACCGAAAAGTAAAAGAGAAATTGCTTTCCTTGAATCATTTCCGGTTTCTAGATGTTTCAAAAGTGCCAAGGGTGACAAGGAAACGAATGAAAAATGAGAAATGAGAGGGGAAAAGTTGGGCATTTATTTTTAAAACTGGATGCGGCAACAAAAGTATGCGAGAGGCGCACACACAAAAATCAATGATTTGCCCATTTCCTTTCTCCATTGCTGCGTCTCTTTATTTCCCTTCATCTCTCAACCATTCAATTCTCATAGCTCTTCTTCTTCTTCTCTACTAGAGTCTATTAGTTATAGATCTGATGAGTCAGAGTTTTGAGTTCCTTGTCGTTCCTGTTGTTTCTTTTGTTCTGAGTTGCTCGGATAAATGAAATCACTGGGATATTGTTACTGAAGGAACCGTATTGGAACCGTATTGGATCAAAAAAAGAACCGTATTGGAACCGTATTGGAATCGTATTGGATCTGAAAAGAACCGTATTGGAACCGTATTGGAATCGTATTGGATCTGAAAGAACCGTATTGGAACCGTATTGGAATCGTATTAGATCAAAAAAAGAACCGTATTGGAACCGTATTAGGTCAAAAAAGAACCGTATTGGAACCGTATTGGATCAAAAAAAGAACCGTATTGGAGCCGTATTGGAACCGTATTAGATCAAAAAAAGAACCGTATTGGAACCGTATTGGAACCGTATTAGATCAAAAAAAGAACCGTATTAGATGAAAAAAAGAACCGTATTGGAACCGTATTGGAAACGTATTGGATCAAAAAAAGAACCGTATTGGAACCGTATTGGATCAAAAAAAGAACCGTATTGGAGCCGTATTGGAACCGTATTGGAACCGTAATAGATCAAAAAAAGAACCGTATTGGAACTGGTTCTTATAGGTCATGAAATCACTGGGATATTGTTACTGAATTAGTAGTAATGAAGGAAGGAGGATTGTTCTGAGTCACTGATTCTTATAAGTCAGGATATCATTTCTATAATAGTTCAATTTTCAATATTGTCACTAATTCAAAGACCAGGATTTCAATATAGCAATTGTACATGAATAGAAATGAGATTACCGTATTTCTTCGAATAGAAGACCGGGTAAAGAGTATCATCGTGTACTCCTGCGTAGCAGCCCCTTTTAAAATTTCTTTTCTGCATAAAAGCTTTCAATGAAGTGCTATAGGGCTGGAAAATGACTCAAAAATACCACATGAGCTAACAGATTTTTGAGCCATTTTCCAGCTCTATAGCACTTGATTGAAAGCTTTTATGCAGAAAAGAAATTTTAAAAAGGGTAGTTTAAAAAAAATGATCTTATACATGTGCTAAAGTCTCCAATAAATATTGCAATAAATGATAGCCTCGATTTATATAATAGTTTGATGTTAAAACGGTCAAAACGCTCGTAGAGCTATTCCTCTCATCTAATCCGTCTCCTAAAACGGGTC